TGCGTTGAAAGCCTAACGACTTATCAATTTGTTGCGCATATTATTGTAAATGTAAATCGCATATAAAATGTTACATCTTTTTTCGGTTCGTATAAAAAATCTATCTTGTAAAATACAATCAGGACTCATGCCCAAATATTTGACTTGAAAATTGAACACAAAAACAATATATGTTGAAAGTGATTTCGCGGTGGCCCCACATATTTGTGTATTGAACGGTCTAATTCTGGATCTGACACAAATTCTTTCGCACCAATCCTGCATACGGGTCTCAGAAGAAATCACACCGTTTTATTTTTAGTTCGACGGAAATTTCTTTGTTCCTAAACATACATATTGCCAATTCTATTTCATAATTGCCTTTTATTTGCTTCTTTTTTTTTTGTTTCTTTAATGCCGACCGAGTAATAAGTACAAAAACATTTGTGTTTCACAGCGTCAAACAAATTTGTATGCAATTTTAATATTTTATCATCAATAATCAATCAGCATACTAAGTTTCCTGTGGAAATCGCTGCCGCGTTGTAATGAAAGCGCGTGCATTTGATTTTGATCTGTGATCCAATCAATCATGTAAAACACATCACCATATGTTTCAGTTGTACTATGTTTATTTCTAACAAACGCGATTATCTGATGCCACTCTTTTAGATCATTTATTTCTCCAATTTCTTCCATTTAAGTTAGTTTCTTTTTGAATGAAGCCGCCTATGACCGATTATGATTTATTACTCGAATATACGTTTTAAATCGTCTTGCAAAAAATGCTACTTACGTCAGATCTTGCCGTTATTATTATTATTATTGTTTTAGTGATCGGGCATTGCATACAGATGTCATCAAAGCTAATTTTGAGAAGATATCAATTCTCTTAATGAGTTCACGTAATAAAACGCGGTGAATATGATTGTTTTATGCCTTACAAATTTTATTTTATGTGAAATCATGTTTTTTTTTCTCTCCCGTTTTAACCGCGTTTTTATTAGTCAATTATCAAAATAGCGGTACAAACTACGTACAGAAGCAACCAATTATTAAACACAAATAAATATGGAATTATACTTTGAAACTGTACTAACCGTGTCAATAATAAATGACCCATCGGTACAGCGAGAACAAAGCATTAAACAGTTACCAGTTTTATAGTGAGATTTTATCTCAGAGAAGAGAATCATACTTAACAGCAGGGACATTGCATTGAATTTATCAACGAAAAGAAAACAGTGGCAAATTATTTTCAAAAAAGTGTTGTAGCTTTCGGAACACACTGTGTATATTGCAGATCAATTTGTTGTTTTGTTGCAAATGGCAATTGATTGATATGAAATGTGTAAGCTGCGTCGAAGGATTTGTACAGAAGTATGTCTGCAGAATGGTCATCACACGTTTATGATGTGTTTTTCATGCAGTTAAAACCAAACAAGTCGCTTCTTTTAGTTTTTGCTCTGGCAAAACTTTGACATTGTGATAAATGTATACACATATTTGTTTGTTGATACACCGCTGTCTTCGATTTCAATTGGGCAAAAATCGAAGCGAAGAGACGCGGAAATATTCGAAGGCCAAAAGTAGATTGTACGGTGCACAAATACACAGCCAACTGGTTTGACTGGTCAGTACTGTAAAAAAAAAACATTTCAATAATTTGGCAATAAAACATACGGTTCTTCATATCAAATTGAATTGATAGAATTTTCGATTTATCTGTTATTGCATTAATAAACCTAAGTATTTTATATTGATTGGTATTTGCATTAAAAGCAACTCATCACCTTTCAATAACAACAGCAAAAAAAGATTATTACAATTAACCAAACTGGTTTTGAGATAGAAAATAATATTATTGAATTAGACGCTGATTTAATCTTTTAATCCAAGTAAGTGGCCCGTCGAGGAAAGCATACCATCTAATTCCGTTTAATTGATTTTGTACATTTTAAAATGAGCGTAAGCTCATTAAATGCGTTTTAAATTATTTCAGAATGCTTAACAATATGAACAAAACACGCTACTTGTACAAAAATTAAAAAAAACAACAAATGTGCAGAAACACAAAATGTCTTCCATTTCTGATGTCATCATATTTAAAAGAAATCGAAAACACTGAAAACTTTAGAAATGACATCATTTTCATCCAACTATTGTTGGGCAACAGAACGCTGACCGTGCATATATATTCACTGATCATTGATAAATTTAGATGGCTATCGGCATACATGTATATGTTTCGACGTCGCGCATAGTTTTTTGTTTTTTTGGATACATGCTCATAGCATAATATGAATATGAATATTCGTCGCGGGTATTAAATGATGAACCTATTATGATTATACCTTCGATATTCGAATCTGTCAACAAGTTGTGATTCATAATTTCGTTTATGAACGTTGAAGTGGCCGACAGCTAGCACAATTTTAATTAAAATTAATTTTAATTGAAATGTCAAGCATATTTACTAAATATTTCATTTTTCTCATACTCATATATCAAATTCAATGGTAATTCAATCAAAATCGATCTACCAATTTCACGGAGTAGCTGACATTTTTAATCAAAATGTAAAGCGAATGTGTTGCATTGATGCCCACACTTACTTCGTAATAAAAACAAATTTAATGATCATTATGTGGCATTTTGTGAAAAAAAAATTTTTTTTTTCAAACGGCAAAATATTTCGAAGTTACGTTTATTCGGCCATGTGATATGACTACGGTTTTTATAGCCGTCGAGTACAGTGTTTCTATCAAGTTGGGAACAGCTCTTGGATCTTAGATTAGATTTAATTCAATGTGGATACGAGCACTCTAAAAATACATGACTTTAAATGACTTCATACTTTCTCGGGATCAGTTCTTTTTTATATCTTCAATTTAAATGTTTCGGTTGGATTTGAAGGCACTAATTCCTTTCATTACTGCTATCTTTTTTTATTGAAATGTTATGGCTTCTATTTTTATTTTATTGTCTCCGGTTGCTCCTGGGACAAATGACAAATTCAATTTGTACTTTGTCAACGTGTTCCCAATAGAGAGATCAAGGTTTAGTCGTTTATCAATTGAACTCGATATTATGATGGGAATTCATTTGGGTAGTCAACATCTAAAACGTGATGTTCCACCGATATGTGACTCAAAATCAAGGCAAGAGCGTATTGTTTGTTACGCATAAACTATGGATACAAATATGGACAACACACAATTTAGTTTTGGTTGAGCCGATATTATTACGCAATAGAAGAAGAGTCAATTCAATGACGTCGATATATTTGAAAATGCCGCGAAGTGTTTGTGAGTAAGAAATTGAAACTAATGGCAAAAAGATAAAAGAAGAAGAAAAAAAATTGTATCGAGTTAGAGTATGGAACCAAAGAAGAAAAAAAAACGATTGGTATTTCCTAACACATGTCGCGTCGTAAACGTATACCGGTTCAGTGAATGTGACGACGCGCTCCGCGGTGTGCGCATTAAAAAAGGCAGCAAAACCAAAAATAATAACAAAGAAATAGAAGAATAACGATGAACAGAACAATACACTATAAAATATGCGCATAGTTTCAGAGTTTTCATTACTTCGTTCTGAATTAGTTTGTTTGGTGTGTGTTTTATTTGTATATGTGTTTCGTATGCATATATGTGTGATATAGTTTTTTTTGCCTTCAACTTCATTTTTTTTCGTGGTTGAGTTCTACTTTTTTCCCTTTTCCCATTTAAAACAGCACTCATTATTGCACGATTTCATCTTCTAAATGGGTTTCACCTCTTCTTCTTCATACCATTTTTTTTTTATTTAATCATCATTTTCATTAACGTTCCGTGTGTTATTTGTATAACTCAAGCTTTACGTATCTTGATGTGTCATGTATGTGTGTGTACGTGAATTTTATTTGATGAATTTTAATTCAGTGCGCGCACCTCAAAATGTTTATGTTTACGATACACACGGTAAATGTATATAAATGTATTTAGGTATATACGCAGTTCGTATTATCGCCGGTTGAATGCAAGTTGACATTTTATTTTTTCGACACCGAAGGACATCATGATACTCAACAGATGAAATATGCAAACCATACGGTGCCAACCAGTTAGATTTAATTTGACTAAATTTAGTTATTATTATCATTAAAGCAACCCCTCGTTCTATTGACATTTCAAATGCAGGCCAAATCGTTTGGCCCAAAATTCCACGAATTTTAATTATATTCAAAACCAAAATATTCAACGTTCAACGTCGGAAATAGCAAATAAAGCGTAAGAAACGAATCAATGGATCTTATGAAACTGAGCAAGAAGAGAGTAATTTTTAACGGTTTTCCCATCGATTTTTCAAAAAGGCATGGAAAATTTATTCATGCTTTTGTCGTGAGTGCATGCATATGATCATTTTTGATTTTATACATAATCCGGTAAAAGTTGGTCAAATCGTGATTACGGCCGTAGAACACGACGATTGCCCTCATGAATAAAGAAACTATATATTGATAACTTGTCCACCAAAGCAAGTTTCAGTTATTGGTAATTGGTCCAAATCTATTGAAGAATAATTTTTCTTGCGTCGTATCAAAATAAACCGGTTCTCAAGAAACATTTGTTTCAAAACAGAATATTTGCAAATTTTTGTTGTTACATTTTTGTTTGATATTGTACGTATTAATGTGTAATGTATTCTTGGACAATAGAAAATCACTAGAGCATTTTATGTAATATTTAAGATTCAAATATCCATTATCCAATATACATAAAGCCGAGTTAATGAATCGTTGTTTTGCTTGATTTAATTGCCTTTTTTTGTAAAACAACTCGTTATCCCAATTTTAAAGCTAATGTGCACTTCATTGCTGATAACAATTGATTAAAAGAATGAGTCTTGAGACTTTTGAATGAATGTCACGATATCAATTGATTACCTCATGACTCTAAATACCTATTCGTTAAAATGCGTTGTATGTACTTTGAAAATCCATCAATAAATGATAAATCATTAAGAATTCGAATGTCTACCTTTCAATAAAAACGTTCGTATGATAATCCACAAAAATAAAATCAATGTTTCCTTCACTCAAATATACGTATATCGCTTCTGTATTCTCTTGTAGATTCACTGACGATAGATGGACAATGATTTGTTACAGTTCAGTTCACTCCTTTCTGTTTTGAGCATAAATTCATTTGTTTCTTGCCAAACAAAACAATTATGTGGCTTTTATTTTTGCCCACTATGTTTGTTTTTTTTTTTTGTTTTTTTTTTTCAATCTTAGCGGTAATTTGAATACCCACTTCACTTTTTGATCTGGTTTTGCGACTTAATGGTTTTAAATGAGAGTTCACGACTAACTTTTACTGAATTTTTTTTTTTTTTTGAAATAAAAATCTTATGAAATTTGAAATTCAATTTTTTAACCGTGATCTCACAACTGTTGTTATTTATATCTCTGAAATGACTGAAAATCAATTGGTATTTGCTAAGAGCAATAGAAAGAGTTTAGATATCCTTTTCGAATTTGAAACAAAACTATAAACAATATTACTACACAATTGAACTGATTCGCGCGATTTGAAAATTTTGAATTTGATTGAACGTGCTTCAAAATTCTAAATAAAACATTTAGCACGTTAAACAATTTTTTTTTAAATATAGAGTTATTTATAGCATCGATTACACAAATTAAAAGGTTCAATTCTCTTTTTTCGTGTGTTTGTGTGTATGTGAAAATTTTGGTTGAAACTTACAAACACAGATTTTGGAAAAAATGTGAAAATGAGAGTGAAAAATACGTATGGGAACAGAACGCGCGAACGAGATTTAAAAGTGCGCTCGGGATCTATTTCGAATTTCGACTGCTTTACGCAAATTTTAGAGAGCAACTAGTTGGTCAATCCACACACATCTCTGTGTTGAGCTGCTACGCGAACGATATCTGTACACAAACATATGAGCGGAGCGAGTGCTCAGTCGCAATGAAGCTTTGAAACACGAGCATGTTTCATGTACACACGCACTGCGTTGAATTTCTTCATGCATTCGTACGAAACGTTTTCCGATAGATGTGTATGTATTGGTTTGGTATATTGGCGCCTTCATTTGAACATTCGTCAATATTAAAATTGAAATGGAACAGTTGAAATGTCAATTGTGAATGTAAAACAATCAATTTTTTTTTATTATGACCTGATAACGGCTGATTTATACCTTTTAAACATTCTTTTTCTTCATTAGAATCACAACAAAACAACATGAGTGTTGGCATGAGTTTTAAAATTTATTTGATGATGATAAATTGACAACGTTAATTGTATTTAGACTGTAGTCATGTAAATATTTATCAATAAATTTACAAAAATCCCTATATTTCTGAATTCGGTCGGTCGATAGAGAATTTCTAATATAATACAATCAGATAATTTGTTCAACTTTATTTAATTTATTGTTCAATACGGATTTTTTTTTTGTTTTCCTTTTGTAATTATTGAAAGTTTCGAACGAATACGACCGAACACGAATCGAAAAATATTTATACGAACGAACATTTTTTATACAAACGCGTTCGTAGCCATCACTGATTGAAACTTGTTCAATATTTTTGCTTCAAAATTCGGAATCATGCAATTTTGTTGAAATATATAAAAAATAAATAGATGTTTTTTTCTTTTAGTTTATTGTTGTGTAGCAATCGCTCCTTACATTCTAAAAAATTATAATTTTGTGATGTTTTAAAACTAAGCTAAAATTAAAAGTAACTGAAACTATGTAAAATGAAATAGGTTATCTCACCTTAATGCGAGTTTTCAATTCTCATCATTTAAAGGTCTCAAAGCACATATCCCATAAAATATTAAAAAAATGATTTCAAGTGACAAAGTTCAAAATGATCTACTTTAAATTCACTTTTCAAGCTAAAGCATAATTCTCCAATTAAATTCAATTTGCATTCAAAATTCAAATGTGCATATTTGTGCAACCCATCGTATTCAATAAAACTTTTTATAACAATTCGTCCTCAATCGGTTTTTATTCGGAATAACAGTCAGATTTAAAATTGAATAGTTACAAAAAAAAAATTAATTTTCAATCAGCGCAATAATGTCTACATGCCATTTTTGTAAAATTTTACGTGAAACTTGAATAGTGTCTCCGTCAACATCAGTATTATATTCTTTGCGAGAAACTGTGAATGGTTCTTCGATTTGTCTGAAAATTTTTTGACGGGTCTTGCTGTCACTGAATTTTCCATTATTTTTCTTGATACTTTCACCGAGCTCAAAGAATAAAACCTGCCATCGTGGCAAACAATAGTCTCGCACAATACCGGCCCATTGTTTATGTGCATAATCGACGATTTGTCCATTGGGCCCCTAATGTTATTTAAAAAAATTATGTTATTTATTAATAAGCATTCTTGCGTTCATAACATACCCAGATAGTGATTTGATTTCGAGCATTGTATTCGTACAAAATTTCTTCAAGTTCATTGGTAGCCAGCGATTTAGCGCTGGCGATCCATTTTCCAAGTAAGAAATGTTCATTTGTTTGCAAAATCTTATCTAAATCCAGTAATATCGACTCGAATATATATTGAACTCTTTCCAATGCCTTTAGATCTTTGGATCTAAACGCTGTTTTTATTTCAGAGTATAACAGTTCAATTTTATTCTGTAGAAATTGTCGTGTTATATCTACGAGATCATGTTTAAATAGTTCATTGTCAATAATTAAATCCTCTGGAGTCTTCAACAATTCATCGAGAACATCGTCAATTAATGTTAAATTGTACCACGTCTGTAAAATGATTAGTTAATTTACAATTATTTACTGTGCTTTTCGAAAATGTTTTTTTTTTTTTTAAATTGCAAATATACCCAGGGTGTATAAATTATCGATGGTCGACGACAAACTATATATTTTCCATGGTGTGAAGGCCCATCGTATGAATACACGGTATCCTAGTAGTTATGATATAAAGGCAAGAATTAGATATGACACATTTAACATACTTAAGCTAGTCTAATGTACCTTGAGTATACTCCATGCGTTTTGAATGTTATCATTTTTTAAGCCATACCGATTGAAAGTGTATTCGTCGAGCCATTTCGAAACGTTTGTCGAGTCTTGGTACCACGCTCGATCCAAAGCAAAATCATACATAACATAATTTTGATTTATTCCTTCTGGGGTAATTCCAACTCCAATCATTGATGAATTATGGAATTTTCTTGCTTTTACAATTTCCTAAACGAATTTCGAGCAAGACGTATTGTAATAGAGTTATACATTTTCTTAAAAACCATCAAAATTGTCACCTGATTGATAATATTGAAGTTGCCTTGCATTCCGAGCGTTCCACCGAAATTGTGTAACATACACCAAATAAATGGTTGACCATAGAATGACATCGTGGTTTGCCACAGTGGATGGATGTCAGCATGAAGATCGAGAACAAGTATTCTTCCAATCGGAACCGATGTCAAAAATGCCTTTACAAGATTGCTATTCCACATTGGATTCAGAAAGAACCAGCCTTGTAGTAGCCAAATTGCATTTGGATCAACTTCTTTCATCGTCATATAAATTGTATTCGACACTTTTGAAATGTATTCGACAGTTTGATTTGAAGGGTTCATTTCGTTAAATGGATCGGCAAAATAAATGTGATTTCCATTGCCATACTCTTCAATTACTTTAGTCAAAAATAATTTTCCGACTTTTTTAAAAAGTGGATCTACCGGATCGATGAATAATGGGCAGCAAAATTCCGTTGGAAATCGATCCCATATCGGCATAGATGTATATGTTGCATTTGGGAAAATTCGTTTGAAAGCTTGTGGTATATGACCGCTGAATGCCGGAAGTGCAACAGCAATACCCAGATTTTGGAGCGATGAAATCATTTGCTTTTGTAACGCCGATGACCAAAGTTTAAAATTTTTGGATAGCGGACCACCAAAACCTCGGATATTGCCCATACGTTGCCAAGCAAAAAATGCAGGACCAGCTAAATGATCATCAATCTCATCTTTTGTCATGCCCAATTCGCCGTAAACATTGGTCCAAACCTTTTCTTGTGTCGGCGCCAATACCAGCGATATGCCCTGCATAGCCATCCAATCGATATGTTTAACCCAATCTTTCCATTGCCACCAAGCAAAACTATAGGACCATGTGCATACATTCTTTATTTTTACATAAAACAAAAAAATTCGTTAATTACTTGACATAGGACAAAAAAACCTGCATTTTACTTTACCTGGTAGTAAATAAAGCGACTCATCGATGTTTCTGTTACATTAACATCGGGCAATTCGTCCGGTATATCGATTCGATATCCATCCCAAGACACATGACTATTACAGTAAAATTTCAAATAATGATAAAATCCTTTACACGCAATCACACCAGATGTGGCTCTAATTTGCACAATATCATCGCCGTTGGCCTTGATCAATTGAAATGTGTGCAATGGTAAGTCGCTGACAATTGTCACTTCAAATAGATGCGCATGTAATGGTACGGTTCTATTGATCACCTGTTGAGCAGCTATACCTTGTACATCTGCAGATACTGTCGGTTTTGTGCTTTCAAATATTGACTCAAATTCTACGGAGAAACAAAAAATTATTTCAAATTTAGAGTAATAATTGGCTTTTCAATGTTACCTTTGCTCATTCCATTGCTCAGAGCCACCGGTAGCACAACTATGAAACAAATCACTTGTGCTGAGAGCATCATTTTAATAAAGATCTTTTTTTTTCAGTGTCCAAACGTCCTTCTATGCTGGCATACAACGATGCACTAAACAACATATTATATAAAACCAACAAATGTTTCATATTCTTTTTATTAACTGACAAGATAACATCACACTTTTGTCTACTAATAAATAAAATGTTGTGATAAGTGATCACTTAAAAAAAATCCATTTGCTTATACTATGCATACATACATCAATTTGAAAAAATATCAGCTTCAACTACAAACAAATTGTTTGCAGTTTAGTTATGGTTCTCACTGTAATCGAAATACTGCTATTCAGTCTCATGCTCATCTTCATGATTATGATTTACAACAACGTCGCAAACACACATTTGTAGTGCGATAAAGTCAGCCGCTCCATTTATCAACAGTGTATTTGCATCATGCTGCTGTTGATATTCAAAATGCCGACAAAGATGATTTATCATGCGGCTACTACTTCGTAGTGCTGCCACATTCTATCGGCTTACAAACATTTCGAAATGCGACTACATTGTACGATGTGTGTCAGTGTGAGAAAAAAAAAACACTCTCCATTGAAAAACCGTTAACTTTGCTTGAGGTATTGTATTGTCATTTGTCTTACACTTCGACCGAACTATATTGTTCTGTCTGTAGCATTCTCCTTTCAACAATCATTCACATAGTTTGGTGTATAGTTTGCATGTATTCATCGCATCTTTATTTACGCACCAACAAAAAATAAGCAAACAATAATTGAAAACGGAAAAATACAATTTTGATGTGAGCTTTGATGGGAACAAATTAATCGTGACTTTTGTCATTTTTCATTGGAAAATTATCAACAATGTCAATAAATCGTGGACGTGATATCTATGATGCAAGCGAAAGAGATTATCGTACGAAATGTAAGAAATGGATTGAAGAGCAACTGAAACCAATGGTGAAGGAATCAAATCCAACCCAAAATTCGTGTGCATCTAATCGTAAGAAGCAGACATTCGAACAAATGAGCAGTGCTGCAAAAAAGAATGAATTCGAACGATTTGAAAAGAATGCTGAACAAAATTCGAGCAACAATCATGACTTTTTTGAACCATTTTTGGACTATGAAAATTGCTCAAAAGAGGAGAAAAACAAGGTGTACACATTAAAAAAACAATCACAAATGTCAACGAATCGCAAACATAATACACAAGACGTTCACGAGAAATCGAGACCTCCGGTCCGTTCGAGTGAGAAACGATATCCTGAAAAGCGTTCAAAAGTATCGGATGATGGAAAACTGGATTTCGGTGAAATTGAAAATTATCCATATTACTTGGATTATTCATCCGTTTCGCAACAACATTCAAAAAAACGTAAAATGGACGAAGATCACGACATTTCCCTCAATTTTGGTGATGTTGAGAAAGCGTTCAATGACAAACGGAACGGTAAAGATATTGGCCGACAGTTACGCACAAAAGAATCGGAACGTCATCGTAACTCCAAGTCACCATTGAATCTATACCGGAATGATGAACCACAGCAAATGGGCTTCAAAAGAGTTATTGAAAGAAGCTACGAAGAACTATTGGATACACCGCGATTCTCCATTCCAAACGATTTAAACATTGAACCAAATAAACAATCGGAACGAAGACGATATGAAAAGGTGTCAATTCGAAAGACATCAAGCGACGATGTGGAACGCGCAATGGAACGGTATGATTCGAAAAAACAGCATCGTGACAAATTGAAGCATGACAGTGGTGTCGATAAATATAAGAAAGAAATTGATGATTTTCAAATTTTCAAAATGAAAAATCCATTGCACGCACTTCAGAAAGTATTTGACTCTCACATAAACTCTCACCCAATCATCTTCAATATAAAATGCCAAAATCTCATCATTGGAACTGACTCCAACAATTTCGAAAGAAATTAGGTTTATTCAATGTAAATTCTTATAATTTATTCGGATTATAAGCAAATATTCTATTTGCTAGGTTACAAATGATTTGATTTAAATGTATTTGCGAGTGAACGCATCTTTTTTTCCGTTTAAATGTTTTTTTATTATCTAAATTGCTATTGCAATTTACAAAAATAAAGAGAAATTTATTGAAATGAAATAATTGTTATTTATGAATTTTGAATAAAGTTAAGCAAGTGAAATGCTTAAATCAAAAATTGTATTTGTGAAAATTGACCAAATCGCTTTCATGTCCGCTTGGAATGTACACAACTTTTTTCTGTTCTTTCTTTGGCTTCACGTTCGTATTTTTGGCTTTGATCGAAGTGGCACCCAATTTGCTCGTAAGCCGTTCCATTTTGTGGATTTGAGGATCCGATCCCATGACCAGCGCCGGCTCATCAACTGGATTGTCTTCTGCAATGGTGGAGTGTGAACCAAATTGTGATGACAAATGAGACACCGAATTGTAAATGGTGGTCGAACTGCCATAAATGTACGATCTTGGATATGGAATGGTTGCGATTCCACGCACTTTGTGTTCGTTCAGTGCACACAACACATTGTCGAAGCCAATTTTCATATTGTGCTCTTCCTGTTTCGCCAATTCGTTATTTTGACGCGTCCAATTCAAAATGATTTTTTCATCATTTTCCAAATTTTTCGTTGATGGAAGCGATACCGCTGAAATGGTGGCACAATTTCCCAATTCTGTCGCAAGTTTCATTGAGCTTTGAATATTCAAGTGTCCTAGATGATTTTCATAACGGCGTTTTTTGATCGTAAACTTTTCACCAATATCTATTCGATCCAAATATTATGGAAACACAAAAGTCACATTGAAAATTTATCAAAAAAAAAAAAAAAAAAAAAAAAAAAAATATGGCTTTAATTCAAATTTACCTCGTGGAATGGGAAACGTGCCAATTTTTATGTTTTCGGTTTTGGCCAACTCATATAACAAATCAATTTTTTTGCCGCAGTATTTTGTAATTCGCAAATCACCAAAAACATGGTCACCAATTCGTTCGGATGGCATAAAGAAGATTTCCGCTGCCTCCTCAATCAATTGTTTGGCTTTTGTGATCAAATATTCTGGAAAATCGCTGATACCTAAAGAGACGAACACAAAATAAAATTTTATGGAATTTCGAAAAAAAAAAACAATAGAACAATCAATTGGGGAATATATAGAAGAGCTTGAGCAAACAAAATTAAATTGAGATTTGGTAAATGAAATCGAGCCTGTGGAAGAGAGAAAATGTTTATTTATAACAGTACTATTGTGATCCGACGAAAAGAAACAAACAATGAATCTTGAATAAGCATATTACAGATTCTGTAATACAGAGCCAAACGATTGTAATGCGAAACCACCGACCAATTCGATTTGCAAATGAAATTCAAATGAAACGCATGATCTGTGCGATATTGTCGATTTGGTATATGACCCTTTTTTGCATTGCGTTTTGTAGATCTTGTTTCGCGATGTATACATCAGTGGTCGCGATCGGGCACTACGGCATCCTTTCGACGGGGGAATAAGAGCATATAATTTTGTTGCTTCGGTATTGGTGCAGCAACTTCTCTTTTGATAATCATTGTCGTAATCTATTCTGTTTGAGTTTTGAACACTTTATTTTGGTTCGGTTCACAGTTGTTACATTCACATTGAATTTCATGTTTTTTTTATATTTTAGACAAAAAGCAATAAAATCTAAAAAGAAGATTGCAATCGCTAGTTTTAAAGTTGACTCACTCGTACATATAAATCAAAGTGAAAGTAGTTTCAGAACTTTCTACACGGTACGCACCTGTTATGTAAAACATAAGCAATAGAAAACAACGAATGCTCCGGAAATGTTTTGGCTTGTATGAAATGTGAAAATTGCCATTTACTGTTGTTGTATATTCGCCATTTTAGCTGTCATTATACGTTGTTCTGATTGCGTAGATCATAATGATTCCAGTTGTTCTCTTCACAACCAAATCTCAATTCTCAATACTTTTGCTGTCTGATGCGACAACATTTTCTTTTATGTGTCAAGCTTTATTTACAGATTTACTTTTATTTAGTGATAAATAATGAATTTTGTTTAAACAAATATATATATTAAAAGAAATCACTCATACCAAACGATTCGTAAGCCATTGTCGCGAAATTGAGCCGCTAAAATATAAAGTTCGACATTTATCAATGTTTATAGAGTTTTTTGATAAATATTTATAATAAAAGTCATACCATTTCGACTGGTTCACACTTCGCCAAACCTTTGTATTGTTTTAATATCGTCACCATGATTGTGAAAAGGTAATCGTAAAAAAATACAGTTAGTATCTACTTAGTAGCCTTAAAATGACAGAAAAATGAATCAAATGATACAAACCACCAGTGTATACGGCTGCTGGTAAAGATTGTAAAGATTTTGACATTGGCAAAAGATTGTCACTTTCCACTTTCATCGGTACACTGGAACAATTCCAAATCAAACCATGTGTCATCACTTATTTGAACTTAATTTGGTAAGATGTAATTAAAAATTTCCCCTTACCCTTGATCCAAACACCAAACAACATACTTATGCGTTTTGCCTTCCTGAAGAACTAAGTCAATTTGTGCGCGACACTGTATTTACAAGCAAACAATGTTTAAAATTCTAATTTATATAAATCAAAGTCAGAAGTAGGAAATTACCCATTTCTTCCAAGGAACGATGTATGCGGCAACGATTTCATCGATTTCAGGCATATAGCCGGCTTTATCTTTTTGTGTGCATTTTTCGGCATTCTCTTTCAATTGAGCTTCGGTATCAGTGTCAAACTGACCAACAATGCTTTCCAATTTGAAGTGAAAGAAATGTGGATTGATGAAATTGGTGATTTTGATCGGGAACATTTGATTATCCTTGCTCGCCATTGTATTTCGTCGCGTCTCAATGCTACAACAGAATGATTTTGTTTGCTATTATTTCGCTGTATTGCACAGTCTATCGAACACTAACTCTTTATGTTGCACTGTCTGTCACGTTGGGCACGTGTTGCATCAATATTATAAATATTCAGTAACGGTATTTTTCAAAGAATTTACTATTTTACACTCGATTTGGTGCTAAATAGTGTCGTAAGTTTGCTTTACTCTCACTCGTCAATCTTGGCAATTAAATTAAACCTGGGGAAAAGAAATAGCCGTGTAATACAATTTGATTATAAACAAAAATGAAACGCATTGTTGTTCCAAATGTTAAATGTGACCGTACAAGTCTGGCGATTAATTTATGTGCTGAACAAACGAAAATCAAAATATTGCGAATGTTTTACATGTAGTGCCATCTACTGGAATTCTTATAAAATGCATATTACAACGCACCGCCGAATCAAGCGGCGGCAAATACATAACAAAGTAATTTTTTTTAATGTTGAATAAAATGAAACAAGAAAAACATCAATTGAGCTGGATTTGCATTTTTCAATTGTACAATTTGTACTGTGATCAATGATGTTTTTTTCAATTTATTGATACTCAACTAATAACAAAAGAATTGCAACTAAACTAAACTAAATTTGGAGTGCATGCATTGCATATTGACAAACGTCAAAAATGAAGAACTGTAAACAACATTAGAGACACTTGACTACAACGTATCGGAGAGAAAGAGAAAAACAAGCGACCCTTTTTTTTCAATAAACAAAAATTGTTTTGTTTTTATGTTTCTTTTGTTATTGCAAATAAATATATAAATTAAATGCAATCAATTTCGTGTGATTCTGTAACCATACAAATTTATCTTTAGTGCAAGTGTTGCACTATACAAATTGCATTAGAAAACAAATATTCTGTCTTTGAATTTTATTTATTTTTGTCCATTTTAAAATAATAATATCAACGAATAAAATTGGTGTGTATTTTATCGTTAAATTAATAAAAAAAAAACCCAATATTAAAACGTTTCATTTATTTAAAAAAAAATCGCACAGAACGATGTCACCTGGAGCAAATAAACGTCAAACAGGCACCGTGCCAAAGGAAAAAGCATCTCGCAAAAATTCAGTGCCTCAAGAGATTGTAGCTCCAACTCGACGTGATCTTCAGCAGCATTTGAATGTAAGTAATTAAATTTGGTTTTCTGTGCGGTGTGGCCATATGCAGCATTTCAAAATCCACCGACTGATTTTAACGAAATCATCCGATTCAAATGACGATGATATAAATAGATTCAACATTTCCATGTCATACAGTTGTTCATCGTTTGGTCAACGTTATTTTTTTTCATTTTCATTTCAAAGATAATATAAATGTGTGATGTGTTTTATTCCACATAAACGCTGGGAACTTGGTTGCAATGCAGCCCACCCAAGCGAACGAACAAAAAGCCACAACTGGCCGGCGATTTGAATGTGTTGCATATGTGCTCCGTATATTGAACCATATTGGTGTTTATATAATCTGTATTTTAGCAATAATTTGTATTCCATTTAAGGATTTCTTTGCATCGGTACAAAGAGCATCAAAACGCGACAATAACAATCGAACTCCCGGTGAAGGAACTTGTTTTGAACTAGGTAATAAAATGAAATGTGGTCAGACATTGTAACGATACTAAAAAAAATTGGTATTGGTTTTGCAGAGAATTTTTCGTTGCCGGAAAACACAAGATCATGTTGGCCAGTACGTCCAATACCAAGACGCAGCTATCTTCAAGATGCTGTCACAAACAACGAAGTTCATAGTACAGGAAATACGGCAGCATCATCTTCAACAAATGCGGCCATTGGTGTTGTTATACCAACTACACCGAATTCCACTCTACATCAGCAACAGAATCAACTGAATGAGCAATTGCTTCATCACAATCAACAGCTATTGTCGATGCGTGTTCCCGATGGAGCGCCACAACCAACTCGAACCACAGTTCCATTCAACAATGAGAAATCACTACCGATGGAAGATCGCCTATCGCAAATTCAAGACTACATTCGAATAACCACATCGCTCATCGACTCGATCAACGTCGAGAAGGTACGAAAATTATTGCAAAATGTTATTTTTTTTTTTTTTGTTATTTTTAATTCATTCATTGGTGAATACGGTTTAGTATGAATTGACTCAGTGCCTGTGACGATGAGAGTTAAACGTTGATTTTATTTCATTATGAATTTATTTTTCCTTGATTGTAACTGTGACGTACGATTTGAACGGTGTGGAGAGTTTTAGAGCTATGAGCTCAGAGAAAACGGTTAAAAAAATATAATACCTTCGTTAAAAATAGACACGTCTGTCATGAAAATAGAATGTGATGTACATATTGTATCGAGTTTGAGCACGTACAAAGTCTCAAGAAAAGGGTATTTTGCAATTTAATGTGTTTCGAAATGGTGAAAAGTTCGCCCATTACATTCACAGTATGCAATTTTCTCGACAGCAAGGTGCACAAATAGTTGGAATTTGAATATATTTGTCCAGTTTGATGGCGAATTGAATGGTTTAGGTTAATTTTGTATTGAATTCGATTGTGTTCGAATCGAGACGTGTCTATCGAGCAAGATAATCGGCATAACGAAGGCGTTTGTGTACATGTGTATATTTTTAAAACGATGAACAATATTTTTTTCTGACATGTTGTGAGCTACAAAAACAAACAACACAAAACACAGACCGTAATACGCACATTCTCAATCATTCTTGCTTTTTCTATCGGTGTCTTGCACACTTTTGTCATTTTCTCCGCTAGCATTCGTAGAGTGATTTTCATTTGCATCAAATTGTTTTCGACCAAGTCAAACGAACTCGCGTGAATTTTTTTTATTAAATTGTTCGCAATTTGTGTTCTATTGAAGTGAAATAAAAATAAAACGAAATAATTATAATAAAATACAAACCGAATTTGAAAATGGTTATCGCACATCCAATAAGTAATTCGGATAATAATGTGTCAAATGATACGCTCATCGCAGACCAAGATGGCAATGTTATCAATTCAAACAGTTTGGAAAGTGTACCAAGTCTTATGAGTGACGTTCGTAAAATTTGTTTTATCTTCGTTTAATAAATTCTGGTTATTTTCGGTTTGTAGTTAATTTTATTTTAATATGTATATATAAATTAGGCCAACGCACCGCGACCGCAGTCAGTATCCAGTGTTCATACGACCGCACCAAATACACCAACTTATGAAGAACTACAAACAAAATTGGAAGTATCGAATCGCAGCATTTTACATATTAAGGTAGTATAATTTACAGAATGTTGAACATTTCGTATTTTAAATTTATGTCAACTTTTAATTTCATAAAATAGGAACAACAACAACAATTGATTCGACTGCAGCAGGCCGCCAAGAATCAATTGTATGAAATGGAACAATTGCGAAATAACCAACAGCCAATGACATTTCCAAATAATCAAAATGCGGTTCCCGACTACGATAATGTTGAAGACGTTACACAAGATGTGACATCATTAATGTCACGCATGAAAACACTCACCGATTTCATTCACAGTCAAAATGATTTAGCAAATTCATTAGGCCTTGACCAAAAATCCGATTTGATTGAAGAACAAACGCAACTACAAAAGAAACTGGTCGATTTGAAAAATAAAAAGCAACAAATGGCCAATTTGGTAAGCGAATTGCACGCCATGAATATTCAAGCGGAAAATAACTTTGACGATATGAATCGATCGACAACCGTCACGCCACCACCACGAAATGTCAACGACGAATCATTTGATACCGTTCAAGTGCCGGGATGTGAATTCGATCATAATGGAAAAATTGTGCTTGTCGATCAACCAACACGCTCGAACGATGCCGATGACGAAGATGATGATGACGAAGTGGCTGCCGCCGCTGGATCAGTTCTTCAAGATAAAATTGCCGAAATTAATGCAATGAAAGATCAACTGAAGCGATTGCAGAACATGATGCATACAGTTAAATTGATTGAAATTAAAAATGGTGATTTTCAACCAGATGATGAGGTGACTATTCAATCACAAGACGAACCAAACAATATTCAATCAAACGATGATCCACAACGTGACGAAGAAGAAGAACAAGAAATGGCTGAACGTGTTCGAGTTTTACACAACATGACCAACGATTTACGTGAACAAGCTGGTAAGAGTTTGAATATCAAACGAAATTATTTTAAAAATGCATATTCATTTTGTATATTTTGTAGTGACATTGGCTGCTGAACGAGATCGCTTGAAGGACATTAAAAACGAAATGGCAAGACGTCGTGAATTCGATGGATCCGAAAAGAATTTAAAGCAACAGCAAACCCATCAAATTAATCCACAACCGAGCACATCGGCCGGACAGAAAGAGCAAATTCTCGATTCAAATTTTCTGCAAAAGAAAAACGATGTGGAAAAATCAATTCCAAATGAAATACAGCGCATCAATAAAGAACCACTTCAATCAGCTGATGGTTTACTTTATTCACCAAATAATTGGTCAAATCGACAAAATGCATCGACGCCATCATTGAGATCCGATAATTTGTCACACAAACCGAATCCAAACATTTGTAATAATCAAGGAAAAGATTCCGCCGATTCGGGAGCCGTTGATATGTTGAATATGTCAATAGAAGCTGGAAGTTTGCAATCGTGTAGCTCTAGAGGATATTCGGTTCCACCGCCGATGCGAACCATCAGCGCAAGAGACGGTATATATTTTTTTTCATATATTCATTTAGTTCATTAAAATATCGATGAATTTTTTTTTCTATTGGCAGCTTCTTGGCGCAAATCATCGCAAGAAATTCCACGAATTTCGTCATTAAATAACCAAGCGAATGGAGTCTATGAAAATCAAACTGAACAAAATTATCCATGGTATTGGAATAACTATAATCAAGCATGCAGTTCAGCAGCACCACAAAGTCCGCATTGTCATTATCATCATCACATGTGCGCGATGCAAACATCGAACCCAGCAAACGATCCAATGCTGATGCAACAATTCATTCAAACACAGCAAATGCTTATAAATTCGATAAGCCAATGCAATCAATTGTTGTGGGATCAACAACGTGAAATTAACACTTTGAACAGTGCCGTTCTATTGGTGTGTACAAATTTTTTGTTTTGTGTGTGGAAAATTCTTTGTTCTTTTTTGTAATAATAAGTGTTTTTTTGCTTATTGTAGATTCAAGAGCGTCTTTTGAATGGATCAAGTAATTCAATGGTTGATGCAACACAACAAAATATCATAAGAGCTGAATCGGTTCCACCAAATATCGTGTGCACAAATCAAGCTCCATTTTTACCACGTGCTCATTCAGAGCAGCCACAAAATTTCCCAAACTATCCGCAATCGTCTAGTGCATCAATTCAGCAGCAACAACAACAGCCACAGTCTCCGATTTCACCATCACCATTTCGTCAATACACAAACACCCCACAAAATGCTCAATTCTATCGGAATAATCAACAAGGCGTTCGTTTACTTCGTCAACCATTGCTAAACAGTCGGACCGGTGTGGCTGCTCCATTTTATGAAACCGATCAAATTCAATACTCGAATAATTTTTTGAACGCTCATAATTTGTCCAATCATACAAACGACAACAGCGGATCACCTAACAATGCGACCATTAATAATTTGCATCAACAAAACTTAACCAATGCCTCCAATTCCGCAACACCAGTAACCAATAATAGTGTGAACGCAACTAACACAGTCACTGCTTTGAATAATCAAGTTGTGCCTGGCATTCGTGCAAACAATTATTATGATAATTTTCGAAGGTAAACATTTTCATTCATTTTTTGTTTCAACATCAAATAATATGTAGACAGTAAAAGACGACTAAGAGCTCCCTACTAATAATTATCATTTAAATCAAAAAACGTTTGAAGACAAAAAAGCAATATAAAATATCTATGTAGACAAATTATATTTGCATCAGTACTGTGACATATTTACATTCATTGCTGTGCACATTGCATATATTCAATATATCATTCGTTTCGATCACTTCTTTCAATTCAACAAGAAAACAAACGAAACTTTGATCAAAATATGTCTTCTAATCGAAACACAACAAAATCGATACTCGAAGATTCCAAAGCTACGAAACAGGATACGTTTGGTAAGTGGGAGTGTAGTTGGGACTTTGTGTGAATAATTTAACAGAAACAATTAACTGTGGATGCTCTTAAGTCTGCTGCTTTGGTGTTTTTTTTTTAATTTCAAACTAAACACAAACTAATTAGAAAAATTTGTTTTGCCAAAATTACGTAAATGAGTTGAACATTTCTTATATTGATAATAAAATGTTATAATTCCAGTTATTCACGACAAAATCTTCTGTCAAGCGCCAGTTGTAAAAGTAATGAAATCGAACAGGCGCAAGCCCATATAACACACAACAATTTGCCATTCGGTAATAAGTTCCGTAATCAGATCAATCAAAATACACCGCCCGATGTACTTAATGTGAATCAACAGCGATACTATCACGATCATATTATCGAATCGAGTAACACAAATAACTACAATAATTTGAAATTGAGCGTCGGTTCGGTATCAGCGCCAACGGCTGCTGTTGCAAGTATTTTAGCAACATCCATTGGCGCACAAATGACCGCCACAAATACGGTTGCTATCAATACAAACACCGCTGTTGAATCAAATCTCCTAAATTCGATTGCAAACAACAGTCATACAAACAATGAAAATAGGTATTTTATATTGATGACATTTCATCATTTTATTTGTTAAAATTGAATTTATTTATTTAACTTTTAGTAGATGTGGCGATGATCAGAAATCAATAAATTCTTTTAATTTCGATGTGAATGAATTGAAGCAACCGAAAATGTCGACAAAAACATTGCAAAAGGGAACGACCGGTGGTAGTAAACGTGTTCGACCATTACGTGATATGAGCGCACCATTGAACGAGAGAGAAAATCAATTTGGAACGGCTAGTGTGAATGGCATTGGTGCGATGGGATCACAAGATTTAAATTTAGCCAGCAGTTCGAATCAACGAACAAATTTAAAATCATCTTCGAAACTATTTGACGATCTTAAAGAGAATGTCTATTTGGAAGTTTCAGCATTAATTGCGGCAAACGAGTCACGACCACATTTTTTGATTAATCTATTTCGTGAGCTGCAATTAATATCATCGTCCGATCCATTGCGAAAGCGATTAATGCAAGCCTTTCAAGAAGTATATACACAACACTGTGAATCGAATGGATCCCCAAACATCCTACCTGATATGCAGGCATCCGTGTCAAATGTACAGGTTGGAAACTAATCATTTTGGAATTTCAACAAATTTCGCATCATATTTTTTTTTTAATTTTCGAAATAGAATGACTTGGAAAATCCACATCATCAAGAGGTAACACAACATTCTGGTGGACAGCACTTCAATGATAGAGATGGCGCGAATAATTTATCGGTCACAACAACGGTATTCATATAAAATTGAAAATAACACAATTACTTACGTTGCTAATTGAAAATAAATAACATTTTAACAGTGTGTTCCTGATTTGCGATCTTCAATCGATGAAGCTCTATTGCGAGCAATCACAACAAATCCAATCCAAAATGAGGCGACAAACAGTTGTTCATACTTGGATTTAACCGTTAAGCATGATTCACAAAATGGTTCACCCACATCGAAGGGAAATTCCATAGTGACACCAACATCATTGGCTGACGTTGTTGCAATGGATGCAAATATGCAACACACGCCAAATATACATCCATCAACACTACAATTCAGTGCACCTGTTTGTATGGTATCACATCTAAATCAAGAATTGGCGGAAGCCGATCAAAGTATGGAAAATGACGTAGCAAATAATGAAAATGTTACAAATTCACCAGACACAACCGAACGCAACGATTTAATACCCGACAATGGATGCTCAAATGAAGGTGCGGTCGGTGGTGTAGAATCAACACCACCTCCATTACCCGATTTAGCCAAAGTCACCACAACTTCAAATTGTGAAATTGATTTTGTTGACACCGACCTATAACGTAACTGATTTTTTGTTGAAAAAGACAAGAAGTGGATTTGAAACACAAATTAATTGAATGTTTGATGTCATAGAAATAATTTGTATGCACATAAATACAATTTCCTACAGTTAGGAAATTTTTTAATAAACATTTATTAATCACATGATTATTTTATCATTATTTTTCATCAATACTAAAAAAAAAAGTTAATTGTATTTTTTTTAAATATGTTAATCTATTTAAACAAAAAAAAACAATGTTATTTCATTTAAATGTTCTCACAAATATATTTTATTTATGAGCTCTGGTCCCCAAACAACTTAAAATTTTATTTCAATATATATCTAAAATAAATGTTCTAACATGAACACATTTTTAATCGAGACTAAAATTTAATGCATTTTTTCTTTTGCTAGATAATTAAAAATTAATGTAAAAATCATTTCGTTTTTTTTTTATTTTAAAAAAATATATATATTTCGGAAAATCCGAATATTTGACGCAGTGTTTTCAAATTTCTATCCAAAATATCCTTAATAAGTACGATTTTTTAATTAACTAAATCATAGGATTTCAGCCGGAAAATTTGAAGAAAGAAAATGATGTCACACACAATCATGTATTTGTTAGCGCTGCCAAAGCACCATATGTATAAGAACCATGTGTATGCCAGTACAAATTTTCCATGTCATTTGTGATGCTCTCTTTAGTCGATGTTAAATGATCATCATCGTCGTCAGTATTCGTAGCAGCATTGCTGTTCGGGTCAGTCAGAATGTTGAGCTTTATTTTTGATTCGGTTTGATGTGTTTCATTCAAATTGTGTCCCATTTCAACTGTATTTTCGTTAATGTATACGCAAAATTGGTCAAATCGTAATTTATTGGATGCTGTGAAGAATGGATAAACGAAAAAATGTAAATTTTCAAAATGTGTTCATTTGAACATGCTTGCATATACAATTTGATGACGACAACTTGTTGTCCCCCCGTCAAATGCGAGAACTATACAATTAGACATAAGCTACTCGTTCACAAACTTATCTAAATAAAGCATACACAATTTCGCATAATCCATAATGTGTGTGTGTAAAAAAAAATCTATGTTTGCCTTAAAACTATGTTGCTAAACGACAAAAACATTCAATTCTTAAATCTATTGAACAATTCAACATTTTAAATCATGTGAGACATCATCATAGTCGATTTAATGTGACCATTTGATTTATTTGCATTAATCGTTGGATTAACAATGCTGCTGATATTGTTGAATGAACTTGAATTACCGATATTCGATGGATCGATTAAAACGTCCTCGTTATCATCGTAGCTGATTTGCATGTCTGCCATGGATTGGTACACGTTCAGCAACAATTCCAATTCGATCGGAACACAGTTGACAAGAAAAACGAGAATAAAATTTGAAAATAAACAGAGTGTTTTAATTGGGTCAAAAGAAATGCCAATTTATATTAAGCATGAACACACTCAATATGTATGTGCATACATAAGAGGGACAGAGATAAATGAAAAAAAAAAATGGTTGCAATTAAAATGAATGCAAAAATGCATTGCATCGTGTCTGTAAATACAAACCTTCGTCATAATCAATGACTGACAAATGACTTCGTCGTCGTTTGGCGTCCTGTTCGGCACATTCATTATTAGTGACACTTTGAACGGCACGCTTTCGATTTACGAACATCGAACGACCTTGATGCTGTGTTTGTTCTGTAATTGTCGATTCCATCGACATTACATTTGGTCTACCGGAGCCATTGATATCATCGGCTGTAGCTTTTTGATTGTCATCGGATGCACGCTCGTTTAAACAAGGTATGTTCGGTGTTGGACAATATCCATAATATCCATTCGATGAAATATGCGATACAATTGGTTGTATTGATGAACTATCGAAGTAGTCAATTTTCGGGCGTCTTTGCACTGGATTATCGTAATTGTAGAACGTTTGGCCACCACCATTGATGAGTGGACCAGCATCAGACCAGCATGATGTTTCGAAATCCATTTCTCAGTGTGTCTCTTTTCTCAATCAAACACACATACACTTTGTCAATTTTAATTTTCCACGTGTTCTTTGTATTTATTTTACACAGTCAACGAATTCAGACAAATTAGTTTATTTTGCTTTAAATTTCAAGTGTATTTATCGTTAAATAAATCGTTACATTTAATTTATGCTTAATATTTGGACAAAATCAACATTTATTTGACGTAACGTTAAAAAAATTCGTTGAAAATTCGGTGCGTGATTAATGAAAATACCGTTGATTTTTAAATTTCAATTATCGCTTATACTTAGTTTAAGAGTATTGATCAATTATTCACAAGCGATTTGATTATTCATGTATGAGTGTCGTAGTCACAATGTATTTATAATGTATGCGATTTTAGTGGTACACAGTCAATTTGAATTTTTTTTGTCTACAATAGTTAATTGGCGAGTGAAAAATTAGACGCGATTCAATTTACGATCCTCCTTCGCGATCACACAGATCCTCTAAGAATATCAAATTTTTTTTCTCAACCTCCGTTCAATCATAAATTTTTCTGTTGAATATTCCGTTTACCTCCGCTGTGCTTTGAGTTCACAAGTAATTTTTTTTTTGTTATTTCAAAATACGGAGACAACAATATTAAACGAATACCATCTCAATATGATACACACAGCAGTTGAAGTCATCTGATGGAAAGTTTTTTTTTTGACAGTTATGATTGTTTGAAATTTATATATGGTGAATTTGTTATACAAACAAACAAAACGCTCGTGTTTATTAGTCAAAATTCTACAATCCAAATCGATTTATTATATAAACTATTGTTTCCAGCATAGCATTCAATCGAAATGCAATTACGTTTGCCCTAATTGCGAAAGAAAAATGCAATACAGAAGAAAAAGCAAGTAATTCTCTTTTTCTGTGATACACAAATTTCACGCGGTCTCGTCAACCTTTCGCCTAGTACTAGAAGTTTTTGTATTGAAGCGCGAACCTATGTGGTCTGTATCGTTGAATCGCACACACAGAGACGTTAGGCACTCACTCTCTCACACACACGCGCGCGCACACATACATAGCCATACATAGCGGAAAACGACAGTTTGCGTGATTTAATAACGAATATTTTACGAAAGAACAGAGGCAATATGGTTTTTTATTGAAACGTAAAGAAAATGAAATACGAATTTATTTAATCCATTGGAATTCTTTGAAACATACAAACACGTCGTACTTTTTTTTTCAACGTAAGTGCAAACAATGTGCCATTTGTGTATGTATTGTGAACGTTTGACATTTCTAGATCCGTCAAATGTCAGTTTTTTTTTATCACGATAAACAAATCAAAAGCTGACTGTTTTTTTATAACATTTGAAACAAAGAGTCTGTCATAAAACGAGAAAATGAATTTAAACACAAACTTAATGGTTAAAACTCGTTTTGTTTTATTTACAAATTGATGATATTTATGTTATGTCCAGTTATTCAATTGCATTTGTTAAAAATAGATTTGGGTAAAAACGTAGTCCTTCAATAGAATCATCACGGCAAATTTTTCCAGCTCTTTCGGCAGTAAGAAGACGTTCTTGTGCTAACAACAACGAAATGCTCAGAAGTTGTGCTAATTCCTCGACAGTTATTGATTTGGCCTTTTCCACCTGCATTATTAAAATTCCGATAGTCATTTATGTTCAAATAATAACAAAAAAAAAAACCAAATAATTACCGCTTCAAATGTTTCTTGCGAAACGATTTCATCGCTGTGTGTTTCAATCTGTAAGACCATTGCACCACTTGGGAATTTTCTCAATTTAATCGGACCATCTAACATTTGGCATGCATTCAAAAGATCTTCCGGCGAAAGTAATTCCAATCCACGTGCACGGTTGACGCGACAATATACATCAGCCAATGACATCATTCCGCCTGCTTCGATAATTGGATCGAGTAACATTGCACAAATTTGATTTGCCAATAGTTGAAAATATTCTGAATTGCTTGCAGCACTATCTCTTGTGACCGGATCATCGATACCTAAGCTCATGAGATACGATTTAAATCGAACCGTTTCATCTTCCGATATATCACCGTGACGTTCGCGAATTTTCGAACTGATCACTTTTGAAATGGCAACCATATCTTTGGCCATGGTCATTAATTTATTAAGATCTTTAAAGGCAAGCGTAATATTTTCATCGGTTTGCTTTTGACGCTCTTGTAGATTTCGTTCAATGCCCACAATTCCCGTTCGCAATTTTATTCGACGTACCGGCGTATTTTCGGTTTCATTGTTTGATGATTTTTCCGATGTTTCCCATATGCGAGCCGACACTGTTTCGTTCAACGATTGTACAAATGACTCTTCAATGCCATTTCGGCCGGACAACTTTATAAACGTTTCGCCAGTACTATCGTCCATCGGGCCCGGTGCTTTGTCCGATTGTAATTCACTCAGCATTATTATGATTCGCTTTTTACGACCAAACACAAACGAACTGGCCACTTCTTCGTCGAGTGAAATGACATATTTCAAATTCAAACTTAGCACAACCATTCCACGGGCAATTTCACCGACTCGACCCCATAATAAACGGTGTGTAGTAAGAACCACTTCACCATCTTCGAAATTCGTCTGAAACGGATTGCATTTATAGACTTGACTCTATTTATATCAAAAAAATTAAATTTACACACCTTTTGATGGCCATGGTATAATTTCATACTCTTATGTTTTGCAACGAATGACTCGTCATCTTTCAAGATCGCTTGAGCGTATTCAAATCGATTCATCGCCAATTTTATCAAAATATTAAAGTATACAAATGTATAAAAAAAAGATCGAAAAACTTTGTTATGATGATTCAATTTGTTTAAGCATTGACACTTAAGGTTGATTCACGTAGAATGTTTTCATTTGCCTGTAATTGACACAAGATGACACCACTGACGTTTAGCATTAAACTTTAAATGATCAAAATTCCACTATAATTTTATCATTTGAATTGCTTCGATGGAAATATTTTTATTTTGGAAATTTCAATTTCTAGCATTTGCAATTTTTTAAACGAAAAAAAAGTGAAATAAATAAATTTGAACATTTTACAAATGTAATATTGTACATTGTCGCCCCCATTTAACTATCTTTGGATCAATGATAATTTGCACCGGATATATTGCATCGTGTAACACTGGTGGTGGTGTGTCATTTATTGTTCATTGTTCAACCATTTGTACCAGCAAATACATCCGACGTATAAGTGAGAGTTTTTAATATAGAAAGTCTTTCTGAAACAAAAGCATCGCGGCCTGTAAGTAGTGCGTTCAATATATACAAAAAAAAAATATTCGATTAGATTTTTTATTCTAAAAAGAAATGTCTATTTTGATTTGTTGAGTAAGAGATCAAACTTTTTTTTTCTAAACTGAATTTTTGTATTTGTTGAAAATCGATAAAGTCTCATTGATTGTATTGCAAGTAAAAAAAAAAGCGTCCAAGTTAGTCCGAAATTTAAATAGTAGAGAAAAAAAATGAAAGAAATACACTTCACACGGAAAAATAATTCTTTAACGTGATTTTCATTTTCCAAATCATCGCACAAATTTATTTCAACTTAAATCATTTCAAGCGAAAAACTTTTCAAGAAGTTAGAGACTAATTATTTTGTATTGAATTTGTTTTGCGACATTGATACATCAGATTATTTCATTGCCATCGAGAAATTTCCATTGAAGTTAAAAAAAAGTAAAGTTTCACATTACAATTTGACTACAAAAAAATTGAAGAGGTTTGTGAATTCAATAAAAAAACACCACATTCATCATATTCAATTTAAAATAGTGTTCTACTGTTTGAAAATACCGAAAATCAACAGGCGCTGATAAACTTACAATTATCCAGAGATATTGTAATATCAGAAAATATTTTTCTTCTGAATATTTTATTTTTATATTTGTTTGGAGCGAAATGTATTGCAACACATCAGATGAGTTTGATAATGATGAAAGAAACCGCCAAGTGTGAATATATGAGTGTTGAATTGCGAATCGTTTAAGTGAACTATTTCAGTGAAACTTTATAAGACCATCGGAAAATATCTATGTTCCGCATACACATTTTGCTGAGGCATTGAAGCGGTAAATCTGCGCTTTTTTTTCAAACAAAACTTAGCGAACCGGCTACATAAAATTGTGCTTATACGCATAGCGTTTTCTTTCGAATTATTTATGAAACGATTAATTGGGCATTTGTTGAACATTCCAAGTCACATTTTACACGAATTGAATTGGAATGGGTCATTTTTTCTTTCTTCTGAAAAATATATATATATATTTATATATTACAAAACCATCAATATAATGCTTGAATCTGTTCACATTCAAATATATGAAGAACAAAACATACAATGCAGACACGTCGTATGCATAAATGTATGGAATTATCTATTCACATAGCGTACAAGGAACAAAGTGGAATTCACAAATGGCGAAACTATACCGACACACAGAAAAAAGAATGAAAAAAAAAAAAACAGTTAAAACGATGAAACATGTTTTGTTAGAGGTTCTTTGTCCGCACGGAAATAAGATGAGCATCTTATAGGTGAATCAATTGTGATGAATACGGAATTATTTGTTGTTGTATCTTCTTTTAAAAAATATTATTATTACAAATCAAACGCATTAACTGAACAATATTTGTTTAGTTATTAGTTAATTTATTGAAAATTTCGAAGAATCGAAATGAAGGTTTTCGGCAGAAATATCATTTCAGTGAATCTGTGTTTGATGGTGCATTGGTGTGCGTGTAATATGCACACATGTATATGTGAGTTTGTATGCGTCATATATCGGCTCAAAATGATTCAATTGTGATTCGGTTAATTTATGCCTGTATGGGTTTTTTGTCAGTTCGCTTCATTGCAGACAAATACATAAGTGTGAGTTTATTATTCACGGACGATATGAGAACACGCCGAAACTGTGCTCGTGTGTTTCATTGTGTTGGTGTCAATTTCAAATTGTTCACCCGTACAATAACCGAATCGAATACACACGGCTATCGCCTAGTATGTGCTTTATTCTCATTTCCTTTTTTGCTTTATTCTGTTTGGAAAATGATCAACTATGCCGTATAAAATAAGAAATGCACACGCGGCTTTGAATACCGAGTCTCTTTTTATTGTTCGTAGGTATTCATATGTGTGTGAATTGATTCGGTTGCCCATATGTCAGCCTCCTTGTGCGCTGTTTAATAATTTTTGTCTATGAGCGAATTGTGAAATGAATGAACCAAAACTGGGAGAAAAAAAATCAAATTACAATGGAAATAACCGATTAAATTAATAATTAATGAAAGAATTTCCCGTTGATATTTTTACTACATTCTCTATTCGACAAATTCTCAAAATGGCATTGTTTTTACTTGTGATAATGTATTTCAACATACACAAAAAAATGCTTATAATGAGTCATCATGCCATTATCATTTTCTGAATGACAGCCCATATCGTTTTAACAAGTGTTTGTTCAAAATTAGAATAATAGCCGAATTCCGCAAACCTTATCACCAATGCAATCAAATGTATTCTGTCCCATACGAAAACATAAATTCACATTGTAAATGGGGTTCCGCCCATGTTTTCGTTGGCACATTTTTCTCTCTCTCTTTCTCCCCCCGTTGAACTACTTTAAAATGGTCGAAAGAATTATTTCAAGAAGTAGAGCACAGAAGTTCTTTTTTGTTCATCGAATATTGTGTATCTCACCATTGCGGCAATATAAAAAAGATATGAGAGCAAAAAGAAACAGAAAGAGAATCGTTGACTCCCTTTCGAACGTGAGTAAGTGACGTCCTTTACAACGAAGCTACCGAATAAACATTATATATTTCACGACCTATTTTCCAGCATCAGAAGATTCATCTATTCACAAAAATGCTACTCGCAAGTGCAAACATTGCTAGCGTTGCTCTGATCGATACCAAAATCCAACCCTGTACTTCAATTCGCATAATCCATGTTGTATCCATATTAAGACCATACAAACACGATGGATAAATTTTGGTGTGATTTTTTTATTTTTTTTTATAATTAAAATAAAATATGAACCATCGGTGTGTGTATGTGTGTACCAACTCTCGGTCACATTCGAAACGCATTTAAAATACGGTCCAAGTCTATCATCGGCGACCGTCTGAATGTACATTTTCATTGTCATAAATGTGCACTCGTATGTATATACGTAGTCAATCAAATATTGACTATATGTGTCTCTCAAGTATTCAATCATCCATACTTCGTTTGGGTGTTGTTGCTAGTTTTTTCTTTTCATTTGTAGCCGATTCCATTTGGTTTGCTAAATTGAACAGCAAAGAAGAATGAAATCATTGATATACTTGTATACCCACAGAATTGTATTTCGTGTAATGCATCTTTGCGCAAGCGCTATTATTTCTGTTTGTGACACAATTTCATTCGTATGTATTTCAATTAATAATGCCAGTTTTTTTTTTACCATTTATTCCTATTATAATACTTTATAGCAATTCTAATCTCAAACAAATGTATATTAATAACATGAGATTTCCGCTTTGGTTTGATTGAAATTGCACAAAAACTCATTTCAAGCCATTTGTATATCGACTGTTGCACGAATACAAATTATTTACATTTGAATGGAATTGATCATTCTTTAGATGATGTGATTATTTGAGTAATAAACAAAATGGTCAGTTAATAAACATACGCGAATTATGTACACACCAAGTTCCAATGCATTGTAGACGGAGCTTATTAGCAAAGATGAATTGAGGTTTATGACCTAGAAATCTATAATATTTGCAAATTAAAAAAAAAAAAACAAATATGTTTAAATAAACATGATTATTCATTTGTGTACGGACATACATACATACTTTCTGATTTATATATATATAGAAGAAGATCACAAACGAAAATTAAATGGAACAGATTTGTTGTGCAAAAATCGATTGAAAACAGCTTCAAAATGACTTTAACCTATTTCACATGCACATGTGCCATGTTGGATCTAGATCTCGCTTGCACAATGTTAAATTACACACAATGTTAAATATACATATATGCACCCTATATATTCTGGCATTATTCAAAAATTGCATTTTGCAAATTGAATTTCTGTCCACTTTGGAAAATGACACACCACAAAACTTGTTTTTGCATTTGCGCAACATTCAACAATTGTTGTGGCAAATTTTCTTAGAAAATTATAATTGGTTTCTTTGTTCTTCACATGAAAGAACCACTCAATAAAATGATATTTTTCAAATTAATATAATACACATCGGTATCGCTAAGTCGCAGTTGTATCCAATTCACAGTGCATGCTTTTCCATCATCACGTGTCCTTGTGTGAGTCACACCATGAATTCATAAATTTCAATATTATCGAATAATGTAGGTTACCGTATTATTTCAAGTATTTTTCATATAACTCAGTGAGCTCAGATTTTCCGGGGGCGAGTTCCTCACCTTTTTTCTCGTCAAAAACTCAAAAGATTATTCCCATTCTTGGGTAAATCCTCCTACACCTCCGCATATTACTGATTTAATTGCTGTGTGCACAGAAAGGCACTTGCATTTTAAAGTTAAACCAAGTGTTTTCCATCGTAAGATACACGTGCTCAACGAAATGCATAATTTGGTCGCACATTTTATAATAATTACTTGTTATTATCGACTTATTACATATTACATTGATTTAAAATGTTTGCCATTCACCATTATGTATCATGGAGCAAAGTTCTGTCTATCGATAAAATATTTCATACAGTTTCGAGTTTTACATAGCACATTTTCGTTGCTTTATTTTTGTGCTCAGTCATTGTATTTCAAAATCAAACCAACCTATAATAACGTTCTGCGAATTTTTGAATTAAAGAAAAAGCAGACATTATATTGAGATATCGTCAGGAGTGAAAACAATAAAAATCTTTCAATTTCAGCGCCTGACGATATCTGGCTGATAATATCTCAAAATAATGTCTGAAAAAAAACTGAGATGAAGATCTTAAAATAAACACGTGACATCGTCCAAGTATGATTAATTTCAAGATAATTTTGCGGATATAATTGCATCTATGGAGAATAAACAAAAGACAAAATTCACATTTTATGCAATGACAGGGGCATGTTTTATATATACACACACTGTATTTTATTCTAATCACTGAACGGAATGTTTAAAGTAGCGCCACTGTGACATTTTACACCAACTACCGAAACTCACATCTAAAACGTAATGAAGCCCAATGTATGCATATGCTTAACATTTATACGACGGATGTCGACTTCATATATTATTCCATAGTGCAACTTGTATGCATAAGTAAACAATTTGAATTGGTCACCCGTCCAATTTGAATGTCTTACCCTTTTCAATGCAAACTTTGTGAATTGAACGAAGCGAATAAATAATATATACTTTTTTATACAAAATGTCATCTTTTTTAAAGTTTTGCTCTCATTTGATATCGATTTTTTACGCTATCAGTGGCACTAAGGAAATATATTTAAAAAATGTGTCAATAACAGTTTAATTGCGTTAGAATCATTTGTTACATTGTGTGTACGTGTGTGTGTATGTCCGCTCTATGTTCACATCAATTTCAATTCGTTTGAAATGAAAACTTCGAACTCATCATATGATTCGCAGTGTGTGTGTGTGTCAAAAAAAATACATGGAAGTATTTTGTTCATATAATGTTAGCGAATCGACACGATCATGACCCAAATACTACTGAGGTTGTTTGAATGTATTTACATTCACGTTCGCTTCTGCGTTCGAATATTTTAACGAAGCACGATTCATTGCAATGCAATGAAGTTTAGTGCAGTTTTCATTACTTCACGATTTAATTTCTTGGGTGATGCTGCCACTGCGGTTTCTGCCTTCTGTTGCTGTTATACTGTACATATATTGAAATAAATAAAAAACAACAACGAAATAAAAATGAGAAAGATATTGCAAAGTAAAATTACGATAAAGTAAATACTGTCGAATAATAAAGACATGTTTATCAATCAAATGCCAACGAAAGTATTGGCATCATTTTGCAAAGCAAAAAAAAAAAATTCAATACTCCCATTACTTTTGAATACATTGTAACGAAAGTATTTCGATTTGTCATTGAAATCAGCTGTGGAAAGGCCTTTATTTAGAAATAATGACTACGACTAGTTCCGACATGCATGCGAAAAGAGAAAAAACGCATTTTAATTAATGTGTCAGAGCGTTTTTGTTTGTTTCGCACACTTTCTTCCTTCTTATTACATATTATAATTACAAATTATGAATATAATTGTAAATCGGGGGTGTTTTCGCATGAGATCATGGAAAAATGATTCTTTATCGAACATTTTTCTACAGCAATAGAACTCCGAAAAGAGAATTGCAATTCGCCAATGTGTAAATTCGTACATGTGTGTATATAGCATTTATGTACGTTCAAAAGTGATATTTTTTTTGCACACACTTATGAACCGCAAAAAATGTCTGTTCTAATACACGGATTGTGTATTGCACTTAGCGGTGGAAGGCAACTGAGTTGCGCTAGAAAAAGATAAACAATCGACATGAAAAATGTCGAAATGTAGGTCACACCAAAAACTTGACCCTCTTTTTGCGTTTCTGAAATGTACATTGCAGTAAATGAAATAACAACAAACCAAACAAAATACATTTGTATGCTTTTGCAATTTACAAATATTTTTTCTTCTTCTTTGTCTTGTAACTGCTTCAAAAAAAATATATATAAACTCAAATCAGTAAAATGTCCAAAAAAATTTGATGATATTAGATGATGAACATATTTTTCTTGTTTAAGTTGTAATTCATTTGGATTTGTAATGCATTTACAATTGCAAAACTGAAAATAACTGTATTAATCAAATCAGGTGCAATTCTCCAAGGGAAAAACAGCAATTGAATACTAAATATCTATTTAGTTGACACTAAAGTCCAACATATGGTAAAACACCAATATTCGTTAGACAACCAAGAAATAATCAATGTATTTTGTACTGCAAATCATTGATCGTATGTATGCGTTAAGCGAATAAAAGAGCATTATAATCATGACTCGTGCACATAGCAAAACGTATAAAGCTTTGTAGGAAATTCAAAATCGTTTGCATCGAAACTGTTAAGTCGATAAAGCATGAGCGCGCATTACAACAAAGATCGACCTTCAAATGCATGCGATCGCTCAAACTTGTTTTTGTTTTGTTGTTGTTCAATCGCATTCAAAGAATTTCTCTTGCGTATATTTTATCGTGACAGTTTTATATTTTATAATGGCATTGTTTCACATTGGTCAAATCGACGACGTCTGATGCACAAATCATTTTGATGTACGACCATTTTTGTGCGCATTCACTTTTTACGGATGCTTGATTCTTGGAAAAAAGAAGAATCTCCTTGAATCAATTTCATAGAAAATGTTTCTCTGTTTGTTTTTTTATTGTTGATTGACCAGTCTTAAATAGCATAGAAATTTCTTATTTCATTTGACACGAGCAAAAAAAAACGAAGAATAAAATTTACACGGGATACGAGATAATGAATGACAAAAATGAGCGAGTCAGATACTGTGACCATTTCTTGGGCGCAAGGTCAATGACTTTGACCGTCTCTCTTTCTCATTGTTATGGTTCGTATTGTGTTCGCACCGCTGTTACACAACAAATCTAAACCTGAATCACACTTAATTTTGCTCAATTCAATGATATTCCATCTTTTCAAACAATTTTTTAAGTAAAAAAAAGAGAAAACTTTGTGGTGTGATGTGATGATCTCAAAGAAACATAAAATACCGAAGTTCAACTATAAACTCTCATCACAGACACAATAAATTTGGAATGGAATATTTGTGCGGTTTGCGTGTAGATGAAAACAGATAGAGAGCGAGAGCGTCTAGTATGTGGCGTCTGAATTGCTATCAATGTATACCATTCCATATGTATAAAGGAACAAATGAACAAAGCACAAAGGAGACTCGGTTTAACAACGCAATAACAGTTACAGTCTCAATCACAATCAGTTCAATGTTCGAGATTCTACACAAGCAACACTCATGTTCTTATATGAGACGATCAATATACTTGAAACAACAACAACAAATAAAATTCTGTGCGCGTCACCAGTTCGTCTTTTTTTCGATGTAATTTATATTTTGTGCATCAATCAGTGATGCGATTAAGGATTTTTTATTTCGAGTTTTCTCAGTTGTTATACGTCACTTAATTTCAATTTTAACCTGTGTCAATTGAGAGCTTATTGGGCGAACGAAAATTATTCGAATAATAACAAAGGGAAATACCCGATAAATTTCAAGACCAATGGATTTATTTTAAATGCATAAATGTGCCGACACAGAAAAAATAGCAACAACACGGTGCAGCTCAGTGTGAATACCATTATCACGGTTTGTGTTGAAATGGAAACGCGCGCGAGAGAAAAAGAGAGAGAGAAATTGTGGTCTTTTTGAATTTTTGTTGAACTAAGATAGCAGCTAAAGTAGTTAAAAGGCTGGGTCGACTATAGTACGGCAACACCAATGTCAGTAACACACACATCAGAGGGTTCGTTGACCCCATTTGTATGGGGTGTGACGCATGAATTGCTTGCATGTGTTTATGAAGCGTCAGTGCTTAATATCAAATGTACAAGCTGCTGCGTATTACACGTTCATTGGCTTTTGGTACTCTCCTTTGCTCTGGTTGTTCTTCATGAGCCGAAACAACATGTCACTGCTTAGTGCGTATGTGTATAGCCATCGACTCAAAGCAGAATATCTATCTAAAAACATTTTGTGTTGTTGTTGTTGTTGTATGCGTCAATGGCATTTCACTATGTGAACACATTTCCAAACGCACAACCAAAAACACCGAAGACGTACTTGAGACATATAAAACTGAGCCAAAGTCAATGGCACGCAGACAGCAGTTTGTGATTTAAAATTGACTACAACGTTTGGTTGATATACATACCATTTCATAGTGCTATTGTGCTGTTAACGAGAGAATCCTCATCACCATTGGAACAATATAAGCCTTTTCGATTATTTACTATTCTTCACTTGACTCTTAAACGTGTTGAAAAAAAATCATCAATTAAATAAATGTGCTAAGTGTATGAACATGTGAACGTTCTTTTTCGAATACAAAATCAATTTTGTTCAGCAATTATATTAATTTAATGTCGATTGTATGCTCATCATGAATTGTGCGTTTATATTCAATGAGTATTCTCAAACTAGTTCTTATACTAAAATCAAATATGTAATGAATGAGTTGAAATAATTTGGCATTGGTTTCATATAAAAGTCAAACGAAATGAAAAGCACATGCAAAAAAAAACCATCAGCTGAAAAATGCACTCATATTTCTGTGTGACCTTATTTTTTCCACAATATTGCAATTTATTAATAATTTATTGCGTCAATTTGAGTTACGTTAATGACAGCATAAAAACACACACACACATTTAGAAAATCAAACAGAACAACACATACGCCGCAAACATTTTTTGTGATAACGGTATATTTTGATTTTAAAAGTGTTGCTACATTATTTGTTACAAATGTATGGAGGCAGACAAGCACCTACCACCCAAAAACAAAATGTGATTGCATAGAAACAGTGGCAAATTTGACTTAACGCGCACGCATTAAATGGCTACGAATAAAAAGTATACGACTCCTATACAGCATGCATTGTATAAACAGGATAGTATAACGCACAGTGGAAAAAAGGCCTAAGACCGAACTCAATGAAAGAAGAGACGCTTCGCACTCTTAATATAATATTGATATCGTCTAGACTATAGACGGCCAAATTCAACAATTTATCGAGCAATTTGAATTTCTGTCCTTATTTTCTTTTGTGTGTTATATATGTTTTATATCGTTTTTTTGTTATTTTATTTTGGCGTATGCGTACTCACAAAATCCGACACTTGTCAGATCTGTTCATTTAAAGAACATAACGAATAAATCTTAAAAATCATTCTATGGTTTTCGTTCAATGAGTGCACACATAGATTCTACTATCAACGAGTTCGTCAAATTTTTTTTTTTTTCTAAAATAAAAACAATTCAATCAAATAAAAAAAAGTCATTTCTTATTTTTTCTTGGTAGTTAGAATTTATTTTTGTTGTAAAATTGTGAATTTACTTTAATGTTATTTTTTTGTAAATTTTTTCTTGCAGATTTAACGCCGCTAATAAGTGTGAATAAACTAAAATAAAATAAAGAACGCTCCAATCAGTAGACTGACGGAGCACGTGTCTGATTGCGGTATACCGCTACTAAACAAGACGGAAGCCATCACGCAAACGAGGCCAGAGTCTCGTGTCACGGGGAGGGAATCACCAGTCCCCCCCGCAGCATCTCGACGCTGGATTCCTCCTTCTTTGAGACCACAACATGGACTCACACAAGAGGCCAAAAATGATCAAATTTTCCGAAAGGTAAACCATACCAGCCAACCAAATTTCAATTTTATTTGCATTCGAATGCCGTATATAAATGTTAATGTTTTTCGATACAATTTTTTTTTTTAATTTAATAGGTTCGCGGTATTCTCAACAAACTTACGCCGGAAAATTTTGAAAAATTAAGTGATGAATTGCTGAAAATTGAGCTTGGTTCAAAAGTTATATTAAAAGGTGTTATACTATTAATATTTCAAAAAGCTTTAGATGAGCTAAAATATTCGCGTATGTATGCACAATTGTGCAAAAGACTATCGATCGAAGCTCAAAATTTTGAAAATAGCGATAAAAATAAAAAGCCAGATCAACCAAGTTATAATAGTACATTTTTGAGTATATTGTTGTCGGTTTGCCGTGACAAATTCGAAAACCGTTCTAGTGATAGCAATGCTCTACCAATCAGCGACACAGCAAATAGCAATACATCACCGACACAACAAAATGGCAAATACTTACGCGATGACCAGCTCGATGAAGAAGAGCGTAAATACATTGCCAAACAAAAGATGCTCGGTAATGTTAAATTCATTGCTGAACTATTTACACTCGAAATGCTGGACGATAAAATATTGCACAAGTGTATCAAGGAATTACTATCAACATCCAGCCAGATCACGCAAAAGGAACGATGCGAGAATATGGAATGTCTCAGTCAAATTGTTCGAACATGTGGAAAAATCGTGGACTCAGAAAAGGTACGCAGACTCAACATCATTCATTTTCATTTAGATATTTGATTGTTTTGGTATGCAATCTTTGTACAACTATATATTTATATGGATAATTTGCAGAGTAAAACTTTGATGGACCAATACTTTGAAAGAATAGACCAATGTTCCCAATCAGCGAAATATCCGCCGCGTATACGTTTTATGTTGCGTGACTTAATTGAATTGCGACGCAATGGCTGGGTACCACGGAAATCAGCAAATACCGAGGCACCGGTGCCAATGCAGCAATTGCGTCCAGATGACGACACACGGTTCACTATAAACGAACACAGGTACCTTAACATTACATTATTGAGCGCATTCATTTCGCGATGACTTGACAAAATTAATTGACCGTTTCATTTTGATGAATTTGCAATTGCAGTAAACGGGATCAGCGTAATATTGACCGTGACAGTGACAGTTGGATGAGTAAAACACAATTTAACTATCAACCAAATTCAAACTACAATTCATCGCTCATTATGAATAATATGAACATTTATAATATGAACCAATCGTACAATTCTTCACCAGTCGGAGGTAATATGGGTGGAAATGGTCGTGGTAACGATCGTAATTCTGAACGAAATATGGACAGAAATAATGACCGAATGGGGTAAGCATTTGCATTCATTAAGAAATTCATAAAAACTATCATTATATTTGATCATTAATTATTTAATGAACATTTTAGAGATCTTATGGGTGGCGGTGGAGCCCCGGGTGGATATCGCCACAATCCCAATCGTGAACGCAATAATATGGTAATATATCAATCAAATTTACTCTTTTCTTATATTCTCTTTGAATTATGTACTTTTAACAAACTCTTTATGATATTTCACGGGATATGAGCACTGTTAGAATGTACCAATAAATACAAAAACAACAAAACAAAAAATGGCTGAATCTAAAATTAAAGCGATTTAATACAAACGGACTTTGTTTGATGATTTTATTGTTATTTTTTGTTTATTTATAGGGAAATCATAACCACAACCACAACCATTATAACAACCATAATCGCTATAATAAGCACAATAACAACAGTCCGCATCCGCACAACAATTATAACAATAATGCGGTAAAACAGTTGCCGCCACGGTTCAAACAAAGTGTCATTTCACCTCAAACAAATCAACAATCGCCAGACACATTTGACACCTTCCGGCCGCCAATAAATAGCTTACTTTACAAAGCAACGAATTCCAATCGACAGACTGCGCAACTGCCAATATCACAACAGCCACGTCCGGCTAGTGCATCATCTGTGGAAACAACTGGCAGTACTGGCACCACAAACTATTCAACAAATGTAAATTCGCCGAATTCAAACTATCAATCACCATCGGATGGTGTGTCAGGTGTTGCATTAGTGCCACCACCTCAATCGGCCCATAATATACTGAACAAAGATCAAGTTGTTATTAAATCAGCATCTCAAGAAAAACCGAAACAAAACAAGAAGGACAAAGGTCCAAACAAAGAAGAGATTCTCAAACGTGTGCTCATTTTTGTTAAAGAATGGCTTGCCGTCACATCGCCTGATAATGACAAGAATATGGATGATGTTGTGGCCGCATTTTTCGAATTAAAAATCCCCGATAAATTTATGCGCGATTCAATGACATCCATTCTCAATGAGATCATTGATAAATCCGACATTGTTTATGATCGAGTCATTGAATTTTTGACCTGCCTTAGAAAAGAAGGAAAACTTCAAAATAACACACTTTTGGAAAGTTTTAAATCGCTTATCAATGGCATGAATGACAGTCCAGTGCCGCGTATTACGACATTAGTGGCATCATTACTCAGTCGTTCGGTCATTGTCAAACTATTCAAATTGGCTGATGTGGCAAATTACACCGAAAACGGAGCTCATTATCCATTATTTTTATTGGTTTTACAACAACTATATAAAACATTGGGTAAACAAGCACTGCTTGATATTTTCAATGAAAGCAAAGTAAATCTTATGTCATCGTTGCCCGAAGCCGATCGAACAAAAGATCGTATGGCTGAAATTCTTGAAGATCGTAATTTAAGTTTCCTCTATCCATTGTTAAAACTTCAAGGCGAACTTCAGAAACAAATTCAAAATGATCCCAATCCACAATCCTTGTATAAATGGATTAAAGACAATGTTGAATCGATTTGCTATAATGATCCGGGCTTTGTAACAGCACTGATGAATGTCATTCTCAAATATGTTACACAGGTATGATATATATTGGCATTGAATTTACGACAACGAAAATATATTCAAATTATTTTATTATTCAGGAAACAACATTAGCCGAAGGAATTGATCCAACTGTCGTACCGGAAAAATCGCTCATTGACAAAGAATTAACGTTATTGAAAAAATATTGTCCTGTACTGAATGCATTCCTCAATGGCAATGGTGATTTGCAGCTGGTCGCCATATTTGCGATGCAAGTGTTTTGCTACAGCTACAACTTCCCCAAAGGCATGCTATTGCGTTGGTTTAGTGAATTCTACGACAACAATGTAATTGAAGAGGAATCCTATATGCGTTGGAAAGAAGATTTAGGCGATGTGTATCCAGGCAAAGGAAAAGCCCTATTTCAAGTTAACACATACCTGACCTACTTGGAAGAGGCCGAAGAAGAAGAGGACGACGATGAGGATGAATAAGAGAATGGGGTTTTTAATTTTCAAACTGGGACGTGACGAACAGTCATAATAATATATAAATAACACTTGAAAAAAAATCGAAACTTGAAAAAAAAAATCAACAAAATCAATGCAAAACTAAAAAAAAAATATCTTGATAAATGAAGAAAATAAAAATCTTAAAAGATCGATGCGAAAATGAAATAGAATAATAATTTAACATTTTACAAAATTGTATTAAACCAGTCTGTCGACAAAGAACCAGGCAACAATATAGATAGCAAATTTATTCTATTTCAAACATCCATCGAAGAAATAGAATATTTTTGAATTATCCAATTTTCACATAAATCAATAAACAACACAAAAATCATTAAAAAAATATGCAAAACTGTAATAAACCCTACAACTTGGCAAAATACAAATCACGATTAAGTCTTTAACTCATCAGAGACCTATATATTTTTTAAAAGAACGAATGAAGTCACATAGACCATACACATATTTAACATATTTAACCATTACAATTCAAAATACAAACCGAAATTGAAATCCATAAATTAAATGAAAACATAGCAATGCAAATATTTGAATAATTGTTAGCACTAAGTAATTTGTATAAAAAAAATGTCAGCAATAGCAACAAATGTTGGAACAACAACAGCAGCAACAATAACAATTGAACACCTTGAAAAACACCTTGCATAGCTATCAATTTTTAATTTCTTTTTTTTTATTGATTTGTTTTTTTGTTTTGACAAATCACTTTCCAAGTCATTTGACATTCATATACAAGATTTTAACCGACGAAAGAGACGAAACAATTTATGAAGAGATCTGGATTGTATTACGATAAAAAAAAATATAACAGCCAAAAAGCAATAAAGTGCACAGTTTTGTGAAATAAAAAAAAAAACACATCGACAAGCATCGATAGCTATTATTTTTCACTTTTCTGAATGGAACACATGGCAATCATTCCTTAAATACAAAAGTCTACCGGTAATTTTAACAGCAACAAAAAAAAAACTAAATCAATTACCCCACAAAGACCGATTGCGTATCTGTTCAGTTCTACATGAATTCATTCGAAGTATGTGTGAGTTTTTAATCGAATAAAAAAAATGTAACAAACATTGATATTAATTAAATACACACAAGAGTCGTTCTATATGTCGCTCTGAAATCTTCTTAACAAGTAATTTATATAGGGAATGGGGACGTATTTCGATTTTTTATCGATAAACATATAGAAAATTCAGATGAGTGATTGATTGAATGCGGGCACCGAACCGAAGTCAAATATATGATGAAGATGTAGAAACCATAAGGATTTATTGATATGGACTGGACTCGATTCAGAGTTAACAAGAAGAAAATACACGATAAAATTTGCTTAAATCTTTGAACTAATTCAAATATTGTGACCGCTAAAAACCGGTAAATATTATGACCGGTAAAAAGGCGATACTATATTAAAGAAGAAGAAAAAAAAATTATATGTAATAGAAAATTAACGGAACAAAAAAACCTATGTCCAAACTGAAAAGCAGTTGACATTTTAAAGACTTAGTAGATTTTCCAATGAAAACGAATGAAATACGAGTGCTTTTAGAAGAAGAAGAAAAACGTTGGATGATGAGGAGGAAAACAAAGGTGGATATAACAGTATCGAAGACATTCAAACGGCACGATAGGTGATTTATAAGTATTTATCTGTTTGAAGAAGTGAGAATAGAATGAAAATTTACATGCCAATTAAATCAGTTTTGATCCGATACAGAACAAATGTTTAATTGAATTTTCCATGAAATAAACAAGTCATCATATGAATACATGCCCAAAATTCTTCAAGTCTATTCAACTTCTATAAAATGAGATGCAGCGCAGTGCATTTGGAATTCCCAACATTTTTGAACATATTTTTTCGTTTTTGTCTCAAGTGCCCGAAGAAGCAATTTTTGTTTTCAACGCCAATTATTTTTATGTGGAAATACATTAGATAAGATACCTCAAGAAAAAAAAACGAAATCATTTAATAAAGAACAAATGTAATCAACAATAGCATCTACAACATGACACAGAAAATGAACGAAATTGCCGAGGCGTCGAGTGCATCACTTTACCCAATATATTATATATAAATAACTACATTAAACGCGAAAAATGATGAAAAAAACAAGCAGACACATACAAAATCTTAAAGACAACGTGAAAATGTCTTTGCGGCTATCAAGACAAATCGACATCACTATCATGTGCTCAATGTCTTCAATAGCAAATCCAATAACTTACAATCGTATAGAGTTCACTGATTAAAGTTCCGTTTGTGTTTCCATCCATCTTTAGTGTTGGTTGGAACTTAAATTTGGCGTACCATATCAACATGTTATGCAAGAAAAATGTTATTTTCTTTTTTTGTTTGACATACATCTTTCTGCTGTTTTAAATTGTTGTCATTTTTTTATATGTTTTGGAAAGTTCCATATTATGTTTCATTATTTTCATCGTTTTATTTCCAAAAAGAATTTTGTTTTTTGTGTCAGCGCCTGTCAGTTTTTACACAAAAATAAAAAAAACAAACTCAATCTGAAAAAAAAAAAATCATGGCGATAAAACTGAAACAAGCAGACGCTTCAACCCAAGTAAACTATTATAAGAATGTAATACGGTTTATATAGCTAAAAAAAGCAAAATATTCATAAAAAAAATGAGAAATCGGCTGATTTTGAACTTTTCATTAAGAATACCAACAAACCAACATCATGTCATCGATTAATTTGCCTCCCAAACCGTAATCCATAGTGTTTGAATATGTAGAACAATTATTTGAAAATATCCGAAAGAATAAAATGAAGATAAAAATCGCTAGAAACAACGTTCCACGTAAATAGCATATATTAAATATAAAAACTAAAACCAAAATAAACGGAACACAAAAACAATATATGCATTTTTAATTCATTGGTGCATTTCTATTTAATCAAACGAAAACAATTATTGGCATATTGCAACAGCTTTGCCTAAAATTGGTGTTTATATATAAACATTCAAAAGAAATGATGAAAAAATAACAATAAAAAAACACTTTATTAATGAAAATGTCAATTCTTAATCTTTATTGTTTTTCCAGGTTACATCATATTACTATGTGATTTAATTCATTCGAATCACAGTCGCTGCTGGGCAAATTTCAAAACAAATGGTGCTGTAACGAGAGAAAAAAAAAATCATTCCAATTTGGTTTTAAAACCTTTTCAATACAATATATCGATAATAACAATTTAGTTTGTATGTCTAGAGTTCTATAGATGGCAACACAATCCTATACGACACTAACATGTCAAAATAATTTCATCGATTGATTTACATAACCTCAAACTTTGCTTCACTTTTCATATCTTTTTTTAACATTTCTTTGTAATTTATGGTTTAATTCGTTGAACATTTCTTACCGAGTCGAATGGCTGCACAGACCGCAACAAATGCGAATACATTTGTTTTCACATTTTCACGAACTCGTCGCTTTTCTTCAGCTGCGTCCATTTGTAGACCTGGTAAACGAAACATGATTCTATTCAACGATAGAAGGAAAAATACAATTATTATATGAATATTAAACTTGAGTTATTCGCAAATTGTTTCAATTTCTTACGGAATATTTTTTGGATTGATCGAAAAATGCAAATTTCGTTTGCTTTGTTCTTCTGACTACTTCTAGCACGATATCTTTTTGTTCGAAACGAATTGTCAATGAAGTTAGTTATTAAACGTCAATAAAGCTCACATACTAATGCTTTTATCAATTTCAAATTTCTACACTATACACAGTAGTGAAATCGTGTAGAGTTTTTTTTGCAATGCGGTTTGAATAGCATATGAAATTCAAGACTTCTTTTTCCAGTATGACTAGTTGCGGTTGGAAAATTTGTTTTAACCAGTTCGCATTCATTATAAATCGGAAACGCTTAACTTTACAAGCAAATGTTTTAGTTGGACAAACCAAATTTAAGCGGTTTTTTCTCTTCAAGTTTTAATCTTATTTTTAGCTGAATTGAAATCTTCTAATTGTTGCTTGAATCAACATGTTTGTTAAATATGCGTTGTTATTTTGAAATTGACTTTTCATTGGCTAAATCATGATAAATTCAATGAATATTCGTCTATTCAATGAATAAACAAATCTTTGTTTGTGAGTTTTAATTTGACTGTGAGCAAAGGCAATAATACACTTTCACAAATAAAGATAATTTGCATTTCTTTTATTGTGCATGAAACCAAAACAATATCTTGACGTGTGAAGCACACATAAATAAAAAGGGTGTTTTTTTCTGTTTTGATATGCGAATATTTACCAGTAATACAAATAAAAGGGAAAATGCGGAAACCAAAAAATGATTAAACAAGTCGTCTGTATCCATAAATGAACAGCGACCTACAGGGCAAAAGATCAATTTCAAAGATTCCTTTTTATTTTCATTTTCGTCATGCCCCATTAATTTTTGACTTATAAGGATTAACGTCCTTTCTTTCTATGTCTCTATCTCCCTTACATAAAGTAAGTATAAACTTGATCTCTCCATTCATAATTGCGACTGAATGGCAAAGCGGCTCTCAACTTCGAATAGAAAAAAAGAAGGAAGGAAATAAAATCTACCACAGTACGCACAGCCAATGAAACATATTAGGCAAATGCGAGTTGTGTGGTTTTCTTTTGTGCGGATTACTTTTGATTTCACATTAAAATCGCAGAGGTCGGCAAATGGTATACATTTTTTCGGGCACAATCATTTTTTTTTGTTTCTTTTTAGTGTGTTATTAACACGATTATATGATACTTAGCGCTATGCTCTCGTATATGCAACCCAACGCCAATTTAGTTAAAAAAAATAAGACATTAGAAAGAATTGCATAATGGGTCCGGATATTGAAAAAAGAGGGATGTTTTAGGTAAGAACCTTAACTATACAAATGTCTTCATTAAACTGGATAGAACAAATAACGAAGAAAAAAACACATTCAATCGATTTAAATAAAAATTCAATGGACATAATAATATATATCGTGAATATATAATATTTCAATTTTTCGGAGGGTTTCAATTACGCACAATTTCACCACCGGTTTAGATTGATTCAAAAATCCAATTTCACTACCTACGATTTGCATGACATATGTTTCCAACCGCTTCGGAACTACACACACATATATGCGTTCATTTTTAATGACAGGGCGGATTGAAATCAATCTCATTATATGCGTGAAAGAAACTGCACCGTGTGTGTTCTACTTATTGATCTTATACATTTTTAAATCATAATCATTCTTTGTGCTATCGTATGTGATTCGTTTTCTTTACCATAAATTTTTTAAAAATTATTTACCGGAAGAAACAATAACATTCTTAAAATACACAAGATAATATGACTGACAAGATATGGCCTTGAAACTTTTTGCATTGAAAACAATCGCGAAGACTAGTGCCATGGAATATACTGGTATAAATCACTCAAATGTATAAACTCACTTCATATAATTGTGAGAATAGGCTTATTTTTTTTCCCAACCAACCGAAAACAATGTGCTGCATTTTATAAAATGCATAAAGTACGTCAATATTAAAAATGATTTCGAATGAACGTTTTTCGCACAATTGTTTTAATAAGTTCATGGCATCGAGATCTTGGAATGGTTTTTTGCTTTTTTTATGCAACAACATAAAAAAACGAGAGTTCCAGCGAACGGCAGTTTCATTTGATAACATTCAACATAAAAATTGCCTTTCGATAGTTTAAACAGATGCAATATGTGTTAGTCTGTAGAAAATTTAATTTCTTCATATCCAAATGTGTTTTTTTTTCTTCTTCCGATATTTTTTTTATTTTGAGTTTGGTTTCGCAATGAACTTTGATCTATGAGGTGTCAATATTTAAGAAAAAATATGAGGTGCCAATCGACAATAAAACCAAATCGTACTTTCGCCAATAGGGCCCCTTGCAAAAAGAGATAAACAGCAGCAGAAACAACAAAATAGGTGAATGATGAATGTTTGTAGGTATACATTTGATAAAATTAGACCTAAAGAAAAACTATTACGGAGCGAATGTGTTGCAGTGCATGGAAATCGTTTTGCTCTAATCATAAAACTGCATTTATTATTTGATGTTATTTATCCTCTTTTGCACGTTTGTTTGCTCTTTTGTTAATGGCTTTGAATTACTTTAAGAGCCCAAAAACGGTACAGCAACAATATTTATTAAGTGTTTATTTTATTTATTTCCCATTCAATCATTCAACTGCAAATTCAATACACCATTATTCTGCACATTGCCGTCCTTAACACGCAGAATTGCATTAAAGATTTTCTACGGTTTCACTCGATCGATTTGTTGGAATTCTTAATAATGAAAAATGATGTTTTTCTTTATTTATCAAATTCAATTGTTCTGCGTTGCGAATATCATACCTTGAAAATGTTCGATTGATTGTTTTTTTTTTCTCTCTTCAATATTGTCATTTGATCTCTGAATTTAGGCTTTGATTTAGTCTAGATTTAGAGCAACACATTTAAGATTCACTCTTTAAGTGCCACATCATCGAAATGTAACAATGTATCTGATAACTTATGCTGATGGATCCATGTTATTGATGGTGTTATTTTGATTTTTTTTTTGTTTTTTAACGATTTTTTTGTGGTGATTCGTTGATTATGATCTAAAAATGTTTAGATACAGCTCACTTGGTACAACCAGTTCGCATTTTAACTTACACCACGTTCTTGCTACTTTTAAATCAAAAACTATTTTTCTTCTGAATTTTCTCGTAAATTTCAGTCATTTTCAAATCCATTGAACTTTTGACTAAAGTCAACAATTATCAAAAAAATAATAAAAAATCAGATGTCGATCAAGATGTGCACTTGAAAATGCCGTTTGAAATGGCTTTTAAAATGATTCAATACTCGAAACATCCGACTCCAAAGACATTATTGTGAAAAGGCTCAAGACTTATTTACCAACAAATTATAAATACGGTTACACAACTGAATCATGGTAGAATCATTTAAATGCTTTAACGATATAAAGAGTTTCGTAATCAAAATTTTTGCTTGAGCATATCCTCACATATTGTTTGGTTGAAAATTATGAAATAAATAGAATCACACACGAAAAAAAAATCCAAGCACCACAACAATATCACAATAGATAAATTGTCTCGTATATAAGTGTATCTTTGTATCCGAAAAGAAGAAATAGTTGGTTCAAATATATGAAATTGTAATTGTTTCCATTTTCATTACTATTGTTATAGTTATGACAAAATAGTGAATGTATTAAAAAAGGTCGTTCAGATGATATAGCGGAAAAATGTTATCAAATAGTCAATTTCAATGTCAAAGACACCGTTTCTGTTACGGTTTTTAAAAATGTTTCCTTCACATTTTTAATGATGTATTTCATTATTTTTCGCTTTCATTGATACAAAACTCAATTGATCTAAATTGCCGTAGTCTCTGTCGCTCTGTAACTCTTCTTTTCCAAAACATTGAAACCATATGTGCTTATATTTCGCGCAACAGTGCATCCACTTATTCGTTCGTTGCTGTGTAGCTTTTTTTTCTTCTTTCATGAAAATAATCTTACTTTCGTAGTCTGTGTCTGTGTACCAAAAAATGGTTCGATTATTTCCATTTCATTGTCATTATTACCGCACAATAAGGTGAACTATAGCCATATCGGATGTATGTACAAAACGTACTATTATATCAGCGACAAAGTACAATGTCGTCAATCAATTCGCAATCATTCTTGGCAGCAATAACAAAAATTAAATGTAAAGCATATCATCGATGTTTATGACTTAAATACGTCTGTCTGTGTCTCACTTATTGACATAACATAAAATTCGAAATAAATGCTACTGACACAGATATTTGAAATACCGT